TCCTATAAGGAGCTGCGGTGGCTCAAGTGGTTAAGACACTGAACTGCAGGCTGTGGAAGGTCGGTAGTTCAGCAGTTCGGGACCCGAGTTGCCGCATGATGGAGTGAGCTCCCGTCTCTAGTTCCAGCTCCTGCCAACCTAGCAGTTCGAAAGCAAGAAATTGCAAGTGGATAAATAGGTACCACTTCAGTGGGAAGTTAACAGCGTTCCGTGCGCCTTGGTGTTTAGTCATGCCGGCCACATGACCACGGAAACATCTTCAGACAGCACTGGCTCTTCGGCTTTGAAACGGAGATGAGCACCGCAACCCTAGAGTCGGATTAGACTGGCTTTTGAGCAAGGGAACCTTTACCTGCCTCCTATGGTGGCCATTTTGTGTCTGTGTCCTCACCCTGTATCAGAATTACAAAAGTGCCCAGAGGCTCAAAATGTTGGAGACCCCCGGTTACTGGTTGAACCTATGCTTCGTATCAGGACTTCTAAAAAATGCACAACCAGGCATAGAGGGTTGCCAACTCTGGCATGGGAAATTCCTTGTAGTTGGGGGTGTTGCCTGTGGAGAAGAGAATCTGGGGAAAGATTTCACCAGGACTCTATAACATACCATAGAGTTTTCCCCTGAAGGTGCCATTTTTCTCCAGAGAACAAACTTTGTAAAAAGAGACAGGGAGAAAGAGAAGTCTACCTGTCTAACTAGCTAGGAGGGAGTCAGTAATGAACAGTTCTCACAGCAGGAAAAACCCTAACTGAGCCAATCAGGAGACAGGAAGGAGACTATTTCAAAATAGTAGGAAGTCCCTCATCTCAGTATGCTAATGAGTTGTCCTCTCTGCTGCCCCCTTCAGGATGTTCTTGTCATTTTATCTATGCACCATAGACCTTGCATATTCCAGCACCCTGGACCTTGTTGAAGCATGCCCATTTCTCCTTCCTCTTCCAAAGTCCCTCCCTGCAGTCTCTATTGCAACTGGGCTTTTCCTAACCCAACTGTTTCTTAAAACAGAGCTGTTGGATTTTTCATTACTAGAAGAACACAACAAATTTGTCACCATCTTTGGGGACCTTTGACATAAGAGTTCTCTCCACAAGGTGTTTAGCAATGTTTCAAAGATGAAGGGAATCATTCTATGGGGAGATCCCTTTATTTTATTTATTACTTATTTAACAAACTTGTACCCTGTCTTTCTGCCCTTACAAGGGAAGGTGGCTAGCAATTTTAAATGTGCATGGCAAAAAACACATTGAAATCATTTAAATCAACCCCCACTAAACACACATCATTAAAACAATTTTTAAAACAGAGTTAAAATACATACAGAACTTAAAAAAAAAAAAAACCACCCAGCAATTAAAACATAGGTTAGGAAAGTCTTCACCAACTGGTGGAGGATGGCAACAGAAGGGGACAGAAAAATCCACCTTGGGGAGAGAATTCCAGAGCTTTGGAGCCATGGCCTAGAAGGCCCTCTCCTGGGTTGCCCCCTGCCTAATCCCAGAAGTACCCAAAGCAGAGCCTCTGAAGAAGATGGCGGTCGTTGGGTGGTAAAGTGACAAGTCATGCTGTGATATGGGTGCTGCTCCTTGCCCAAGCAAAATGCACAAGAGCATGATCTGCTCACAAGGTAAAGGTTTTCCTTGCTCAAAAGCCAGTTGAATCCAACTCTAGGGGGTGGTGCCCATCTCCGTTTCCAAGCCGAAGAGCCAGCGCTGTCCGCAAACATTTCCGTGGTCATGTTGCCGGCATAACTAAATGCTGAGGCACACGGAATGCCGTTACCTTCCCACCAAAGCAGTACCTATTTATCTACTTGCAATTTCTTGCTTTCAAACTGCTAGGCTGGCAGGAGCTGGGGCCAGAGACGGGAGCCCACTCCGTCACGCGGCACTCGGGTCTCGAACTGCCAAACTACAGACCTTCCGGTCTGCAGCTCAGTGTCTTAACCTCTGAGCCACCGCGGCCCCTGATCTGCTTACACAATCTGCTTATACAAAACCCCAAATTCATCTCCACCTTAAGGATTTGAGATAATAGGGCAGAAAGGACCTAGGACCATTCTCTTCCAATGACGTGGACGACAGCGTGGGTTTCACATTTCGTTTTCTTCAGAATATTCTGTTGAGCAACAATTCGTTCTTGCTGTTGATTGTAATACAAAAATGCCCATCTTCCCCCCCCACACACACACACTTTTCATCTCTGTTCATCTATATAATGAATTGTCAGGATTACGAGGGATACAGGGACCCCCAGGAAAAGCCGGCCCTCCTGGGTCTAAAGGGGATCAAGGTGAACGAGGACCCAACGGTGACAGCGGAGGCAGAGGTAAGATGTCTTGTGGGTGGGGGAATCTATACAGGGAGTGAGTTTTTACTGTATGTCTTGTTTTCCTGCACAAAAGTAATAAGAACGTAGGATGAACTTCACTGGCTCTGTTAGGAGAGAAAACATTTTAAACCAGAGATAAACCTTTAGTAGCACTCAAGGGTATAATTTCGGTATTTTCCCTGTAACAGAACTCGTTAGCAATTTCCTTCCTGACAGCAATTTGCACCCATACGAGGTAGAAGACATGGTCTGGGACCAGATATGAAAACTTGATTAGATTTCATGAGCAAGTTGTGTTAACCTGCCTTGTCAGGTCAACCCCTTAGCTGCGAGAGAGATCTTTGATTTTTGCTCTGGAGAGGACATTAGAGAAAACCAGACACGCTTGTAAGTTTATTTATAAGTTTATTTTGAACATGATTCTTAACAAAGGCCTTTCTCATAACCACCTTCAAAGGTTCAAGAAAAATACATTGTGCACATTTCTTTAATCCACATCCTTATGCCTTTATTTCAACTTAACCATTACTTAAGATAAATGGGAAGCAAGGACATCACAATAACAGGGCAGCGTAACAGTAGCATAGTCTTACCAATCTTAACGTGAAGCTTGGAGAGAGATAGAGAGAATCTCACCTTCTCTGGTTTTCCTGTGAAGTCCGAAGTGAGGCAGGAGAGAGTGCAGGTGCAATCTTCTCTTGACCTGACTTCCATTGCCCACCTTCGTTAACCAATCAAAACCCGTTTCACGCCCCAGACCTTTGCCCATCTTCCATAGTCATCACTTTCCATGAATACCTTGTTTTTCGGGGACTTCCCGTCTGGAATGTTCCCTCGCGCCGATACGTTGCATAAGGCATCGTTTGCCAAATGTCACTGTGACCTTCTCTAAGGGAAATTGTCTGGGTCTAGCTATGATTCGGTAATTCAGTTATTTTCCGGGGGTACTTGCCCAAGCTAAAGTTCCCCTTTTCCTTTCGTTCTTAGCTGCTCTCTGGCCTAGCAATCCTATTGCTTCTTAGCGCAGAGGTCATTGCTATAGATAAGCCCTACAGCTCACAAGAGACCCTCCCATATTGGTATTTCCAAGCACATGTATAGGTACGCACATTCCACACTTATTGATCCCTTGTTGAGAGAGCAAGCAGGGAAATCTGATGAATGCAAAATTATTTTTTTATTATCTACTCGGAACCAAATGGTGATTGAAACTATGACCAAATTTGTGTACCTTGCAGTTTTTTGTTGTTGTTGTTGTTCAGTCGCACAGTCGAGTCCGACTCCACCTTCGTTAACCAATCAAAACCCGTTTCACGCCCCAGACCTTTGCCCATCTTCCATAGTCATCACTTTTCATTAATACCTTGTTTTTCGGGGACTTTCCGTCTGGAATTTTCCCTCACGCCGATACCCTTGCGTAAGGCATCTTGCGCCAAATGTCACTGTGACCTTCTCCTCTAAGGGAAATTGTCTGGGTCTAGCTATGATTCGGTAACTCAGTTATTTTCCAGGGGTACTTGCCTAAGCTAAAGTTCCCCTTTTCCTTTCGTTCTTAGCTGCTCTCTGGCCTAGCAATCCTATTGCTTCTTAGCGCAGAGGTCATTGCTATAGATAAGCCCTACAGCTCACAAGAGACCCTCCCATATTGGTATTTCCACGCACATGTATAGGTACGCACATTCCACACTTATTGATCCCATGTTGAGAGAGCAAGCAGGGCAATCTGATGCATGCAAAATTATTTTTTTATTATCTACTCGGAACCAAATGGTGATTGACACTGTGACCAAATGTGTGTACCTTGCAGCTAGGAGGCGAGCAATGTCTCAGCAGACCGGGCCTTGACTGTTCAGACTGTTTCCTTCCCATTATAATTCGGTTGTTAGGCCAATAAAGGTTGTTTGTTCGTTGGTTTGTTTAAAAGTACCTATTCAAGGCCCCTTTGAGTTTCCGGCTTGCTCAAGCTAAGTGGTTCTCCTGCCGCCTCAACTGACCCCACTTAAGAGGATACCAATAAGTGTCAAAAGAAAGAGAATATCAGTTTCTGACCTTGGGGTCACGGGAATTAAACAAAAGATGTTTCAGGGGTGAAAGTTCAAAGATTTGCCAATATTTGTTGTGGCTCAAAAGCAAGCCATTTCTTCCTGCCCCAGGAATGTGTGTGTGTATATAAACATAGGCAGATATGGAGTGGTTCACCCCATCTACTTCATGGGCTCTGTCTTCTTGCTCTGCCTTCTTGGTGCTTGGGGGGGGGGTCCAACAGTGGGAGGGCTTCTAATGTCCTGGCCCCACTGGTGGACCTCCTGATGGCACCTGGTATTTCTGGCCACTGTGTGACACAGAGTGTTGGACTGGAGGGGCCTTTGGCCTGATCCAACACTGGCATCTCTTATGTTCTTATGTTCATGCATCTCACATTGGGGGGGGGGGGGGTTTCCAAGATAGCTTATGTTGCATTACAGTTGTTAGTCTTGAAGTTTTCTTTAAAGTTAGGGTTGCCAGCTTTGGGTTGGGAAATACCTGGAGATTTTGTGGGGTGGAGCTTGAGGAGGGCAGGGTTTGGGGAGGGGAGGGGAGAAACCTCAGTGGGTTACAATTCCATAGAGTCAACCCTCCAAAGCAGGCATTTTTCTCCAGGGCAAGTGATTTTGGTTGTCTGGAGATCAACTGTAATAGTGGGAGACCTCCAGCTAGGGTTGCCAGGTCCCCCGGGGAGGCGGAGGAATCCCCGCTCGATGGGTCCCTTGCCCACCGGCCTGGATCGGGTCACTGGGCGGAACCCCACCCCCAAAGTGCCAGGCATGCGGAGATGTGCCCAGTGTGATGACATCACCCGGAAGTGATGTCATCATGCCGGGCATGTTGTGGGGAAGCACTCTAGCATTCAAGGGAAAACTCTATGGTTTTCCCTCGAATGGTAGTGGTCCCGCCCCCAACACGCCCAACACAATGATGTCACTTCCGGGTGACGTTATCGCGGCGTGCAAGAGAGAGAGAACTCCCGGAGACGGCCCTGGACTCCCCCTGCTATTAAACTGGTAAGACTCGGCAACCCTATCTCCAGCTGCCACCTGAAGGTTTGCAGACCACCAAAAGAACTGTACTGATAAAGTAGTAGACAACACATTGTGTCCTTAAAATGAATTAGTATTTTCTTTTACAGTCCCTTTTTTTCACAGAAGTTATGAACCACTCCCTCTTTGTCTCTTAAGAGCCCAGCAAGAGAGCCGAATTGAAGCAAGATAGACTGCAAAGTCAGAGTTTTCTAGAGCTTTGGGGCTCCACCATTGAGACAGTGGCCTGAAGAAGACAGAGGAAACGGACGGCAACCTAGGCAATCCGTAGCCACTTCATTTCTGAGTGTGTTTAGAGAAAAAGAGGGAGTGGTTGATAACTTCTGTGAAAGAGAACTGTAAAAGAAAAGACTCATTCATTTTAAGGACACAGTTTGTTGCCTAATACTGTATTTGTACGGGGTTTTTGTGGTGGTTTACATACCTCCATATGCTGTACATCCATTGGTGGCTGTCTGCCACCAGAAGGTTGGCAGCCTTATTTAAAGGGGGGTCTTTAAGATGGCTCTTCTGCAAGAGTCTAACACAACTGGCCCTCTGGAACCGAGGAAGTCAGTGGAAAAATACTTGCCTGTTGCTGGGTTTTTTTACTAGCACTGGAGAAAGTTCCTCTAGGTTAAAAAAAAAGAAAGAAAATCTTACCATGTAACCAGGGTTTAGTCTAAGCTTTTTATCACTACTGCACAGGTTGCCAGCCCATTGTCTGCCCATGAAAAATATCAGATACTGATATAATTGGGGGGGGGGAGAGAGAAAGTGAAAATGGGAAAGAGCAGAGAAAGAGATGGACAGGAAGGGAGAAAGGAAGGAAGCAAGGGAAAATACTGAATTAATGCCGTCTCAATCCTCTCCAGCAATCATTTGCAAGTGGATTTTGCTGTTTCACACAGTAAAATCCAATTGCAAAGTGTGTTGAAAGGAGATTGAAAGCGCATTGTTTAGCATATGTGAAAGCGCCCCCCTGAGGAAGTTTGGTGAAAGAAAATAGTAGAGAAGGGGAATGAAAGATGGAGGTGTCTTGAAAGTAGGGCTGCCAGACCCCAATTCCCAGAGGGGGTTCCCCCTGCTTTGGGGGGCTCCAATCCACCCCCAAACAGGGACGTCGCCGGGAGATGCCCCAAACACAGTGATGTCCCCCAGAAGTGATGTTATCACATCAAGGATGTTGGGGGGGGGGGTGACGCTCTAGTTTTGAGGCAAACTCTATGGTTTTGAAGCACATGTGCCAGGAGATCCCGGAGGGGAGCCTGGATCCCCCCCACCGGCAGCCAAGTAGGACCTGGCAACCCTGCTTGAAAGAATGGGGGGGGGAGAAAGGGAACATTCCTTCCCCAGACTATTTAAGGATGAGATTACCTCCCTTTCGTTACCTACCCTTGGGTATTGAGGCCTCCTCCTCCTCCTCCCACAAAAAGTGCAGATGAAGTGATGCAACCCTTCCCTCATAAGAACATGAGAGACGCCAATGTTGGATCAGGCCAAAGGCCCATCCAGTCCAACACTCTGTGTCACACAGTGGCCAGAAATACCAGGTGCCATCAGGAGGTCCACCAGTGGGGCCAGGACATTAGAAGCCCTCCCACTGTTGACCCCCCCCAAGCACCAAGAAGACAGAGCATCACTTGCCCCAGAGTCCCTATTTATACCTTATATATATCTATACCTCCCCCCGCACTACCAGTGACTAGAATCCTCCTCCTGTGACTCAAGGGCTCTTGTCATGAGTACAGTCGCTATGAAGACTGAGGTTTAAAATGCTGTAGTGTGCTGTCTAGTTGGACCAGTGTTGGTCTCCCCCGCAGCCTCCATCTCATAGATAGGCCCTCAGTGGCTTCTGAAAGCAGTCGCTCCAGATGAGCCTTGAGGAGAAAAAAAAGTTTTATTTGCATTCTTGGATGGAATAGTCCCTTGACTTGAGAG